ACACACACACATACACACACACACACACACATACATACAAACCCAGATGATTACATAACCTCCTGGCGGAGGTAATAATCATAGCAGGACGATTCGTCAAAATTTGGTTCTTGTGTCTCTGATTCTTCAAACTCTTTTTTACAAAATTTCCAAAAATCTTTACTTAATTCTTCTTCATAATTACGCTGAACATGTGAGCGCAATTTCTTCCGCAACAATCTACTGACATATTTTATTTCTTCCAGTTTGCCGTTTTGGAGTTTAATAATATAATAATATTTTGGAGTTTAATAATATAATAATAATAATAATAATAATAATAATAATAATAATAATAATAATAATAATAATAATAATAATAATAATAATAATAATAATAATAATAACAATAATAATAATAATAATAATAATAATAATAATAATATATGCAAAAACAGAAAAGAGCTCAAACATGTTTTGTTCTTCGGAGTTTTATGTGGGAAATATATATATATTAATATCGGAGTAATAGTTCGCACCAATGTGTTGGGTAATTTTCGAGTAAAATACTTTGTTGCCCTGGATCATTATTCTCTCCATGCACATAATGTATAGTGGTATATGACGGAGTACAACATGGAAATCGGATCTTCAAAAAAAGTTTAAAAAAATAAAAAAAGTTAATAAAAGTAAAAAAAAAATTTAAAAAGTTAGATTTTCAAAAAAAGTTTAAAAAAGTTAGATTAGGATTAGGGTTTAATGGTTAATGTTAGGGGTTAGGTGCCGCGAATTTATCATACTGGTAATTTCGGACGTGTTTAATTAACAATTTACTCATATAAGGTGGAACTCTTGCTTTATTTCTAATATTTGCTACTGGTGAAATATACTTGGGGTAAACCGTTGCTGTCTAAACAGCGATAGTCATATGTAGGCGCTGCGTACCTATTTTTTATAGATGTTTTTAGCTGCCTCTGGGCAAAATTTTTACCCAAAAATGGATGTAAAAATACAAAAAAAAAGGTATATCTATTTTCAAAAGTTAAATAAGCTAGAATCCACTCTCGAAAGCAATGTGAAAAACAACAATTACTGTGATTTATGTTGTGGCAGAAACTATACACACTGACGAATTGAATGTAAGTTTATCCATTGTTTGCTTGTCCTAAACAAACGAGACTAGCTTTTTATACCAAACTATCAATTCCTAAATTGTATTAACTATTTTTCACTTTTCTTTTTGTCTTTTGAGAACAGTTTAGTTTATCTTTCTTCGTATAAAGGTTATAGTTAATACAACGAAATAACCATGATCAACAGAGGCGTATATTATAATATCTCATACTTACGGGGAATTAACAGCTAGTGAGATGCAATTTTCACTATGCTATGAATTTTTAAAAAATAATTTAAACCATGTGATATAAAAGGAAATTTTTAAGCATACATAAGTTAGATAGAACAAATTGTTCATCACTAAAAAAATTGATATAGAATGAAAATGTTTTATCGATAAACGCAAATTGAATTATTCTAATGAAAAGTAATTATACTAGTGCTTGCAGCTGCTTTGAAATGGCAATTTTTGAGATGGAATCAGATCTAAAAAATGGCGACACGTGCCGACAAGGGTCACACTTAGATCGGCAGTCTATTGGCGACCTCAATATTGACATTTTTCGAGGGCTGGCGCAACTAATGACACGTCCTCACAAAACAGTCAAGCCAAGTAGCACTGAATATAAACAGTCCTGTATATCATGTAGAAAACGCATAGAAATATTAGACCTAGAATGCGTGATGGTCACGTGACCGGTGTCCAAATTGAAAACAAAAATGCCATTATAAATCTGCCATGTTGAATTTGAGTAGGAGTGCAAGCTACAAAATATAAATAGAGTAAAAAACTAAGTTTACATCGTCAAATAGTTTTGTCTTGCTGTCTATAATTTGTAGTTTGGAGATAGATTTTGAATATTTATTTATTTTGAATATTTATAATAAGTTCCTTAAAGACTCAAAGCAAATGTACAATTGCAAAAACGGTGCAAATCGTTGCAGCCTTGTAAAAACAAAGTAGTTTTGCATAAATATATATACTCATAAAACATTTTTGCATGCTCTGAACGTAACTGCTTTGCTAATATTTTCTTCATTCTTCGTCGGGTTTCGTTATTCTTCAATCTAAACGTAGTTTTTTCATGTTTTTAAAACAAAAATATTTAGTTGTCGATAAACTTTAAATCGCCTAAAAAATCGTCGAAAACTATGGCCTTAAGCTCAAGCAGCGTATAGAAAAAATGTAGTTGTATAAATTTAAAAAGATTATTGAACTCCATTTCATTTATATTATGTTTTTCAGAACATCCCTATTGTGTTTGAGTTTGCCGTCTTGAATCTCTTGATCTTTCGTGTTTTGTTTTGGCACGCACACGTCGAAAATGTATTTTTACACGACGATTTCTGTATATATTCTGTTCAGAACTATTGCTTTTCGTAAAAAACAACTGGAATGGGTTTCTCTCCTTTCAAAACTTTTTTCCACTTAACGATATAATTGTTTTTGCAAACGTTGTGTTGAAGAAAACAATTTGCACTCCCTGCAACCGCGCGAAATTCCTTGCCGCAGGAGTCTGGGACAGTGGGACTAACCAAAATGCCCTTATAAATCCGTCATTTTGTGGAGACAAAAATTTAATTAGAAAATTAAGATAGGAGTACGCATTCTGTGTCTGTGAGTTTCTACGAGAAAACCATAAAAGTGTCGTCGTGTGACAGTGGTTAGCCTGCGCATGTGCGAAATATTGTATAGGTTCATATCTTTGGTTCAGTGCATGCTATGTAGGTGAAAATACCACCGCTTGATTCAGTGAAATAATTTCTATCGATGGTTTAAGTAAAATGTCAACATTATAGCGATTTACGATCTTTAGAGGTCAGGCAATACCATATTTCACACAATTTTCCCGAACAATGTAAACAATGTATTACAAAGGTTAAAGGCATATTTTCGCCGAACATAGCTTCGGCCCATTCAACACAATGTTAGTCTTATGCGAATCACAATCCAAGACATTATTTAGAGCGTTATTTTCAAGCTTGTATCTACAAATTTGCATCTTTTATTTCGGTATTTCAGAATATCTAAATTTTTAGCAAAAGCTTCAAGCGGAAATACAAATTGATTGTCGAAATAATGCGATGTTAAAATCCTAGCACTCGGGAAACATCCGAAACCATACGGAAACCGATTCTAAAAGTCAGATTATACCCCTGTAGCGTGGCCGAAGTTACGTTCAGCGAAAGGTATAGCCAGTCTATATTTTTGTGTAATTTGATAATATACATTAATTGACTTTCAGAGGCCATAAATCGCTACAATGTTGATAATGACTAAAACTATTGTAAGGAGTTACTCGATTTTGTTTTACTTTTAATCGAATGGTGGTATTGTTTTCTTAATGGTGGTATTATTCATAGCATGCACCAAACTCAAGATATGAACATGCAAAGGTTGGCAGTCTCTATGGACCTATGATGCTTGGGACTGGACGAAAAAGAGTTTTAAAATTTATTTTAGCCGTTTACGGCGAAGTTATTATAAGTTAATTAATTACGGCGGAGTTGATTTAATAGTTTCTTGTTTGTTTTTAAAAAAGTTGCTGTATTATGTCTAATTTACACTGTATCTGGGTTATACAACAAAGAATGAAGAAAAACACTTTTATGCTTGAATGGTTGAAAAATCAACCAAGGTGGCCTTGATTGCAAACGAGCAGTTAATTTACTTATTTTGAACGAAATTAGCTATACGCTATAACAATTGCCAATCCTATATATAGGATAACCACATGTACGCAATTTTACTACCTATTTTTGGTTATTACATCTTTAGTTTTCACTGTGACAGCTGCATGAGTCAAACCCATAGAAATATTAGACCTAGAATGCGTGCTCCTATCTCTTCTCAGGTAAACAAGTGACGCCACATTAACTATTCAAAATGGCCGATTTATAAGGGCAAATTTAATCTCGCCCCATGACCTTTTGCAAATCGCGCGATGTTTTGGTTGAACTGTATTTCTGTCAATATTCAATATGAACAACTTTTGTTCATTTACCTTTTATACTAGATTAGTGGAAATTTATGTATATTTGTGTGCACGAAAGGTTTTTGTTGCATAGACGTGTAATTTCAAAACAAAAAGACAGATTTGTATACTCGATACTCTCGATCGCCGAAGAACTTGCACACGCTCACATGGCAAGTATGGGTGATTGGTCTGATGGGGCTTTCAGATTTCTTTCAATTTAAAGCCGATCAGTTCATCTTTATAAATGGTAAGTCTTGCTACTCACCTGCTTTTTGAATACTCATCCCAAAATCCAAGTCTGGATTTAATTTTTAACACTGAAGCAAATTGATATTTGTAGTATTGTATTAATACTTGGGTTTGAAATATTTTTGGAACGTGTTCAAAAGCTTTGTATAATTATAAAGGAGAACAGTTTTGAAACATATCAATCTCGCATTCAATGTACTGAAAGGTTGCCTGCTAAATAGTAAAACAAGTACTCCATCAATCAAACTAACATTTATTTCAATAAATTAATTACTGTATTTACAACAATAAAACTGTTAAATAATTAATTAAATAGTATATACACTAACAAATTTTATGAATTGCATTGTTCCCTGGTTTTCAGATGGCATTTCCTCCATCTAGGAAACCATGAACCCAACCAAAAGTTGAAACTTCTGGGTGGCCAGGTTATTTAACCGCCGCCCAGCACTCGGCGTTAACTTGCTGTGAAACACAGCCCTAGTTTGGGAACTCTGCCTGAAGTTTTACTCATTATAGAAAAGAGTTTGCTTTGTGAGTGCATGTCGCTTTGATGCCTTATTTTCCTTAACAATGCGTTCAGTGTAAACCTTTCCAAACTGGTACAGAAACAATTGTAAATACAAATTGGCAATATACTTAATCAAAATAGTAATGTGATCATCCCTTAAGTTGTCATCAAGGACATGACCTTGTTGTGAGTGCTGGAGAATATCCTGAAAGGTGTTTAATTTCTAAACAGATCTTCTCTTTTTTATCTTTGCTTAGAGTTGTCCAGGAACAAAGAACTTGTCTTGCCAATGTATCAGTTGTTGTAACCACTTTTACAACAGACAAGGATGGAACCAACAACTTGCCATAACGTTTGCAGGATAGGAGCGTAATATTGTGGTGATATTGATGGTCGTGTGCTACATCAGTTGGTTGATATAATGTTTCAGCACACTCAGGGCACTTTATAATCTTCAACAACTTTCGTGCTATGTAGCCAGATATGTAAAATAGAACATCATACCGCCATGCAGTTGATGTTTGCAACATCTCAGAAATTTGAGCATCTTGGTGGTCAGACTGGTCAGGTAAGTCTGATTGCTCTTCTGTAGTTGCCACACAGTTTGCTGTTGTAGGACACTCAATGTTGTTTCTTAATAGCAAAGACCTCAATGCATATTTAAATTGCAATGCATTGGGATTATTATTCCACCCTAACCGGCTTCTTATTTTACTGAAAAACATTTCGAGTGGATCTTGTGAAAATCGGTATGTAAGAACATAGTTATACGGAAGGTTGGCTCTATGCAAAAGCTCTTTACTGATAGCAAGGATTGAGTCTGCTGATATTGCAAAACCTTGAATAAAGGTTTTCCTTGGACCATTAACTACTTCTACTCCATCCAGAGTTTTGAGCGTTTTCAAAATTGCAATGCCATCTTGTAAATACTTTTCAATATTTGCATAGTTTTCTAGGTTAATTGGTGCCTTATACTGCTTTCCAAATTTGCTTTTGGAGTTTAAAATATCAAAAAGATTGTTCATCAAAAGTATGAAATCACTTGTTGCTTTACTGCCCATGAAATTTTCGACCTTAATATTTCGTAAAAATGTTATGGCAGCTGCCACAGATGCACTTAAAGTTTGGGTAGCAACACTAACTTTCATTTTGTGCTTGTGCCACTGGATATGCTTTGTTTTTAACTTGTTAGCCAGGTGCAATATGTCTTGTTGCTGGATTTCATACAAAGCTTCAACAAAACCCCATGAAATTGTTTCTCCTGTGGGTGTTTTGAAGATTTTTAAATTGCCCAAAGCATTTCGTGCTAACTTTATCATGTGGCAAATATCTAATACAACATAAACCATTAGATCTGGTCGACAGGGGTGAGGAAATGACCCTTTCAAATTTTTGATGTCACAGCCAAGTTTTTTAGCTGTGCTAATATTTTTAGTTGGCCCATCAAACGTTACAGATTTAACAATTATGTTTGCTTTGTTGTACAGTAATTTTATGGCTTCTAATGCTAGTTGGGACTGCGTAGCACTAGTAGTTTTATTTGTTAAAAAATACCCAATTGGCATTTGCCAAGATTTTTTAAGTCCTGCAGCCATAATTACTAACACATTAGTGGCGATGTTATCAGGATCTTCGCCTTGGGTTTTGCCGTAATCAATATTCCCAACAAATTTGTTGTTTTTTCTGTCCCAAAGCGTTTCTTTTCGGATGGACATTTCATCCAAAACCAGGCCACATTCAGACTCGCCATCTGAAGCAAATTTCCCGGCAAGACTATCTATTGTAGCCGTCAAAAATCCTGGTTCACAAGCAACATCTGCTGCCCATGACCTAAGCGTAGCCGGATGTGGCAAGTGGAGTGATTTGCGTACAAAATTATAAGCTTTTGCACTATAAAAATGCAAAGATACTGCAAATTCCTTCATTTCTTGGCTGTAACGTGAACCAGCCTTTCTTGCATGATTTTTTAGCTCATTTTTGTACAATTTTAAATGCCCAAAATTTTTATCGAGTTTCTCGCCGAGCTCTTTTGAAAGAACTTTTTGTTTATTTAGCCGAGTAATCAGACCTGTAATGGTTTTCTCTTTTCGCAAATTTTTTCGTTGGAGTTGCTTAATTTTTTTGTTCTTTTTCTTCACAAGTAGCTGTAATTTTTTTATTTTTGTAGTAGAGGGCGACATGGCAGGCTTGAAAACTTTACACGAAGGGACCTCTCCACTAGTGTCAAAAAATGACGCCGACGAAGCCGAATTAGGAGCTATGATATTGTTGTCGATTTCACTAGCAACCAGCCGTTTTCGTGCTGAAATTTCGTGTGTTGTTTGCTCTTTTTTACTCAGTGATGGAGCGGGAATGCTGAAAACACTTGGAATTGCTCCCTTTTTTAAAAACTTTTTTTTAAACTAGAGTCTGAGTAGGAACCCAGCACAAAATCATTTTCAAGAAAATGGTTTCCGCAGAGAACTGATGTTTTTGATGGATACCAATTGGTTCTCCCAACAGCTGCAACCCATTCGCTCAGGAGTTCTTCATTATGATGAGGAAACCTGTTAAAATTATAAACGAAGAAACCATTCTGTTTTATAAAGCGTACAGAAACGATAATATATTATAGCCAAATCGTTCAATACTTCAATCTTTGCCGTATCGTTCACTGCCAACTATTATATGTATTTCTACGTAAGACAGTGACTATAACAGTAAGTAAAAAATATGAAGAATGATGTTTATTCGTAAAAAAACCTCCATAAAACATTGACACTATTAAAAATATCCTTTAATTATGTAAACTTGTTTATGCAATTGTTTTGTAGTATTAATATATGCGGAACATAAGCGCCGGAAGCGCTAAAACGGAAACCATTGTTTTGACTTTCCGACTCACCTGAAAAACGACTGCTGAACTTCCGCGTTCTCTTTTTCCTCCTTTTTATATCTTTCTTTACATTTGTAAGCAGAGCAAGAATTAGGCATCTTTAGCCTTTACATAGTAATTACACAGAATAACAGAAATAAGAAAAGTTTATATTTTTTTCCGTATTACAATTTTGTTTTTGGCGCATTGTGTTGTCTGTGTTGTCAGTGCGCGCAACGCGTACACCGCTCCTTGGACAAATTCAACATGGCGGATTTATAAGGGCATTTTTGTTTTCAATTTGGACACCGGTCACGTGACCAAGCACGCATTCTAGGTCTAATATTTCTATGGTCAAAACCCAGCTGGTACGTTTTGCTGAGCAATATTTCTTTCACATGGGAGGGGTTAGCGCGGTAAGCACTATCAATTCCCTCGCGAATTTTTTAGCAACGCGTTAATTATTTATTTTTATTTTGCAAAATTTTATTTTACTGACGGATACTGGAGTCCCTGAAATCTTAATTTCAAAATATGCGTTTGCGACGCAATTCCGCTAAGTGCGTTCGTGTCAGTTCGGGAAGCAGGGGCGTAAAGGCGAGATAGTGTCCGGCAGGAAGGTGTCAGGATGACCCGGTTCCCACGTGAATCAAATGGGGGAAAAAACGTATAAAAGCAATAAGTACAAGGAATTCCGTTTAGTTTTCGCGGCAGCGCGGCTCAAATGAACATGCGCTAAGGTATTAATACGTCAAGCATAAGACGCGGAAAACAAGCAACGACAACAATGGTCTTTGAAATGACATTGACAAGCTTTGCGTACATATTAGTTTCAAGGGGTTCGGAAGCAATTTGTAGCGGCAGGGGCAGCCATTTTAAAAAAGCACTTACTTCTGAGCCCTAATTTTGTGGATAGCAGTATTCGTTAAATTGTTTGAAGACCGTTCTCAACTTGAATTCATGACCATTCATATCCGGAATTAGAACACACGACTTGTAGGAGTCTACAATACGACACGAAGTGTAGCTCTTGTACGACCCGAAGTGCAGTTCATGCAAAAAAGACAACTTGCGATACAACACCTGTCACCTGCATGGTTGCATGGCGACAGAGCGACTGCCTCCGCCACTCTGGCGGCCCTAAGTACAGTAGTTATATATATTGTATAGGTTTAAATTTACTTTTTCCACTCAATCATGTTTTAGTCATTAAAAATTGTCAAAAAGAACATTGCGTTTTGCAACTTTTGCGACACACGTGCAGTCCTAGCGCTTCCCTTTCCTATCTATCATCTTGTCTTCTTGATTTTCAGTTAACACGCCTTACATTGGCCGGAAAATGATTATTACAGAAACTATCACATGCCTGCACAAATAACATGCTTTAATTGCACTTGCAATAAATTAAAACTCAATTTTGTGGTGATTCTGTAAACTGAACTCTTCAATAATTTTTTAAGGCGCATTATTCATTAAAAATGAACTCATTAAGGGGCATTACTCATTTGCACTAATTTTACTCTAAATTTAAAAGGAAAATATTATATTTTTTACTCTAGGAATAAGCAATAACCAAAAACGCCCTCAAACAAGCGGCATCTGCACGCACACAATGACATTTGACATTTTAATCACCTTTTTTACACTCGTTTCAAGTAGTTAATGACCGTTATCCAAACACAGCATGCAAAATTTATTTCAAGTGTTTCCTCGTTCTCAAAAAAACTTCAAAACACATCCCGGCAGTGCGGGCAGTGGCATATTACAGTATATTGGCGTTGTTGTCTTTACATTCCTCAGAAATTCAACCATGGCAAATAGCTCAACACATTTCTCCACAGTACCTAGCGAGATTCTTCTTTCATCAATTATATTTAAATTCATTGCAATGATTGTTGGAGCTTTGGGAAATACCACAGTCATAATTTATACAATTTTCTTGAGCAAAGAAAAGACAGCGACATCTTACTTGGTAGGAAACTTGGCATTGGCAGATCTTCTCGTGTGTTTAACATTTTATCCAATATGGATCATTGAGTTTATACAAACCATATTAAACATTGATAGTGATCAGGATCTGTTTTGTAAATTAAGTCGTTCTACCATGTGGCTATTGCTGTTTGCTTCAGTGGGTACACTTCTCGCAATTACTGTTGATCGGTATTTATATATTGTAAAACCTCTCAAGTATCCACTGATTGTGACCCAACGACGAGTTTTTCTGGCTATTTCAGGAATTTGGTCGAATGCGTGCTGTGTTTTCATTGTTTCACTACTTTATTATGGAATATATGATATCAAAATAAGAACCGTATGCCGCTTAATGAAAAATGCTTATATACATCATTTTGTCACTAGTTTTGTTGGCTACTTACCACTTACTTTTATATTAATTCTTAATATTCGGATTTTCATGCTTGCTGAGAAACAACGAAAACGTATCTTGGCTGAAACAGCGTTACCCGTTACAAATAAACTTGCAAATAAAATGTCGGCTATACGTGGATTTTTTCACGCTGTTAAAGCGGTTAAGACTTTTTCTATTGTTGTTGCAGTGTTTGTTTTCTGTGTCCTCACGCCAACTGTTGTTGGGTCGGTGCTATACTATTCCTGTAGTTCGTCATGTATACAGATCTGGTTCGTAGTTTTCCAATATGAATTTTATGGAATAAACTCGATCGTGAATGCTTTCATCTACGGAATGAGAGATGCGAAATTTAGAAAAGGTTATCGACATATTATCTTTAAAATACTTCGCTGTAATAAACTCACAAACAGGTCGAGGATTCTGCCTCACAACTGACAAACTCATCTACCTCTATACTAATACTATGTTTACTTAGTTATGGCACTTGTGCATGCCAATAATGAAGAAGAAAGCAATAATATGTATTGAACTGAACCACTTGAAAACGGCTGGAACTGGATGCAATGGAGCATGCTAAATTATGGATGATTACTGCAATTCTAAATTCTAAAACATATTTGACAATTTCAAAATACACGTTTTCAGTTCCTGGTGAAATTAATTGTTATAGAATACTTCGACTACGCGTCGGAACATGGCAATATGATTTTTCTATCGTAGTTTTCTCTTGGTGAGGGCTACGTCGTTTCCTTTCTGAATGCATACGAGTGCCACTTTATATATTTTTAATTAAAAAAATCGTTAACAGAAATGCATATTACCTTTTCATTGGTCGCGAAGGCGGACACAGAATCTGGGTTTGCCTTCGTTGGTCCATTATTACTGATAAAATGTAAACTACAAATATAGTTGTCTTTCGAGCAAACAAAATTATCATCCCGGTGCACGCGATTATCCATTTTATATATCCTTTCTGCCGATCGTACAGCCCAGGAAAATGATAACATTTAATTGGGTCATTGTTTTTATTTCTCTTATGAAGGTGCGGGTATCTTTTACATGTTCCCCAAGCACATATTTTAGTTGTGACCATATTGCTATTCTATATTGCGTTATATTGCTTGCGTGACCCGTAGTCCGAACTATTGCGATTGTTTACATTTTTGACCACGTGTCAGTACACGTTTATAAAACAGCTTTTATTCATGGTATACTTATAAGAATAAAATAATACTCAGAAGTATGTGTACCATACTTATGCATGCTAAAAGTTTACTTGCATGATAATAGATAGCTTAAGATCTACGACGTCGACGCCAGCCGTAGGACGTCAGGGCTATAAAGCATAGGACTGGGACTAGGACGTCGTCCTAAATAAATAAACTCCACTTATATATTAAGTTTTACGACTTAGACATTTAAACTATAAATATTTACATACTTTTGAGAATGAATTTAAAACAGCCGTGTGAACCCATTACCTTTTGTTATTCGGCTTGTATTTACGACGGTAAAACTCTTGTTGTGAGATTGTCGACGTTTGGTGAGCGACGAGCAAATTGAGAGAGACACATGCATACTTCAAAATCTATTACCAATTCACTTCTGCTTGCCGCCCTAAATACAGGGGCGGCGCTAACCCTCTTCGAGTGGGGGGGTGTGAGTGATCTTTTGCCGACTGTTGTTTGGTAATTTTGCCGAGTCATTAGCCTATAGTGAGGGTCCTGAAGGGGGGGTCCCAATCCCATTTTCCACCTGAAATTTTGGCAAAATCCCAGTCCCAGTTGGATTTTTATTAGAAATCCCAGTCCGAGTTATTGAAATCCCAGTCAATAAAAAACCCTTTATTTATCGGTAGAATAAACAATTTTAAGACCTTTTAAGCCACCGTGTGTGCAAGTGGCGGACATTTTACGAAATATTGGGGCCGGAAATGGCATTTGCATCATTCTGAGACA